GACCCTTAAGGTTAAAAATGTTTCTTTTCTTGTCTTGGCTTGAACAGCAAATGGAATGTTTCAAAGGGAAAAAAAAAAAAGAGTCCATATGAGGCAGGCCAGAGTGATGCAGCCTTGCCTGTTTTTCTTGATCTGAAATACTGTATTAGCTGGAGCACAAAATGGTCTGGCTACCTCAGTTTCCATCCCATTTTTGGATGGAAAGTTGCTCACCAAACAAGAGCAGAAGCAGTCATTTACTTCTGAAAGGGAAGGTTTTTGCTCATTTTCTTTGCAGCATAACATTTTCTTGGTTAGACTTTTCTCCATCTCTTCCTTCTCCGTGAACGCCCCCAAGCAGAAGAGTAAATAATTTTGGCTTACAATGAACAAGTCCCTGAGATGATAATGAGAAGTGGTGAATAAACTTTCCCTGTCTTACACAGGGCAGACTTGAACTCTGCTGAAGGGGCCACATGCAGCAAGGTCAGGAGTGTGATGAAGTATAAGTTTGGAAGGGGAATCTGCTGGAAAGATAGAATAACCCACTGAGTGATAAGTGCTGACAGACTGGCACCCTGGTGTTTGAAGTGCTTTTCCTTGCAGGAGAAGTATGTCTCTGATCCTGTTGTGTTATGGCCAGGCTCAGTCTGTTTTGAAAGCCTATCCTTTCTTCACATGGAGACTCAGAAAGATTCAGGCTGAATGTGTTTAACAGAACCCTGAATTTTGGGCCATGGTTAAAGCCTAGTTTTATAAATTTGATATGGTTTTCTCAAAAGGTATTTATAACAATAATCATAAGCATATGTCAGTACATTTATATTATTATTATATGTTTACAATAATGTTTTTCTAATACTTCACCATTAAGTAACTGTGTTTAGTGTACTAGTTCACAGAGAATAAAAGTATTAAATTATGATTTCAAAGGAATGATAAAACAATAACACTGGGGAAGTTCAGTCATCTTAACAAATTGGGAGCATTATTCAATCTGTCCAGGCAGGCTCTTGCATGGTTCCTGTTCTTCTCTGTTTCTTTCCTGTGGGTTTAGCTTGAGAATGCTCCCAGTATGGCCACACAGGGAGACAAACTGAAATATGTGAGTGAGACCCAGGGTGGGAGGCAGAAGATTAAGTGAAATGTCCTGGGACCTTCCAGGAGAAAGCTGCTCTGCTCTTTACCCAAACCACAGTGACAGAAGTAGTATCACAAGCTAGTCGGATGGTTTGACTAATAAGAGCTTTAAAAAAAACAGTAGTGATATGTTTTCAGTTCCTTGAATCAGTTTATTTCAGTTACATTTGCAAATGTATGTATATAAAAAGAACAGAATTACAAATTTTGTAAATGAAAAAGGTTGGGAGAAAGAAAAAGTGAGGTTTTTCTTTTTTTTTATCTTCAGTTTTTAATCTAGAAGTGGGGCATGATCCCCATCCCATTTCCTGTATATCCAGGACAGCAATATTCTGCCACTTTTTCAGAAGACTGCTGGTACCTAACATGGAGGTTCTGTTGTCTAGTCAGATTCTTTGACAAGCACTAAGCACTGCTCAGAACACTTGGATGCTTTGGAAGACAAGAGCAGGCAGGGGTGGAACCCTCAACAGTGTACAGGACTAATCAAGCCTCTTTTAACTACTTGAGCACAGAAAGTATATCTATATAGATAATTGAATAAAACTGTTAATATTTTCAACAGTAATAATAATAAATCACTAGACTTGTAGATCTATCATGTTTCAGTGATTTTCAGCCATTCTCCCCTCCACTGGAAACAATGAGATATAACTTAAAAGTGCTTTTATTATCAGCATCCCATAGGATCACTGTCTGCACTTCCATCCCTTCCCACTCTCTAATGTATGTGCACTAGGCTGCACTTTTGGGTCATGCAATCATGCAAATCAGAAAGTTCATGTTCCTCAGGCCTCGTGAGTTATTTCTGCAGAGGGTGGACACTGATGGAGAAAGACACCAAGGAAGAAGAAACATTGTCTTGTTATTTTTAGATGAGCTGAGCTCAGCATTGCCTTTATTTTTTCTCTGCTTCACAGTTTTACTGTAAGAGGCAGGATCACTTTGATTTCTATCACATTCATTCCAGCTGTAATTTTTGCAGCTTTTCAGTTCTTGGCCATGTGATCTTCTCAATTCATTTGTGATGAAATCCCTGTTGTGCAAACTGACATTTTTGTTCATTTCCTCTCTAGTGAGAGTACAGGAAGGACATGTACACCTGACATCACTGGCATACTTTTCTGACATAGTAGCAGGAGGATAAGAACCTCTTACACAATTATTGGAGGGATTCTTTACCTCCTGCAGCAGAGGACCATGCTCAGATATGCCAGGGATATTTGTGATTGTTCAGCAAAGGGCATTCTGTAGTAATGAAGTAACTACATGTAGATTTTGAACTGGAGAAACAAAAGAAATTGTTCAGGTAATGTTTTTGTTGACTTTGGAAGCATTTATTTCGTCTGCCTTGTGAAATATATAATGCAAAGTGTCAGCATGGACCTACATTTTTCCTGCTGTATAGAATCTGAACCTTAAATAGATTAATGAGAAGGCACTGTGCAGCTCAGGTTGGTAGTTTCACTTTCCAGTGGTTACTGTTCCTCTCTGTTGGTTATGAGTGTAGCTTCAAGTTACCAGGCTGCCACCTTCTATTTGTCGAGTACCTGAATTGAGTGGAGGTGAGTCTGAGCCTTTGTGATATTATCAAATATTTTTACACTAAAGTAACTAAAGACAAACTCTACTTTGATTCAAATTTTCTGACTGAATGTGCTCTCTAATTGTTCTGTCAAAAGAATTTACAACTGGGACTAAGACAAGAAATGAAGTAGTTGTGTACTAGTGACCACAAATGTCACCAGTATTAATAGGTCATGATGGTCATGATCCTTTCCTACCTAATTTAGTGCAACTTCAGTGAAATCAGTGGACACACACCAACACACACCTTATTGATTCCTCTCTGCATTGCTCTGATACAGCTCCACAGTGGAGACTTCGTTATGAATATTTATTGTAAATCACTTCTGCTTTCATTAAAAATGTGAGGGTATTCACCAAGTTAATTCCAGGGAAAAGAAGAAGGAAAATGAGAATGAGTAATTGGATAATTGCTGTTCACAACTGTAAACTTTTCTAAAGTACTGAACATCATTATTGAGGCAAAATAATTTCATTTTTATTTTATCATGTTTAGAAATTGCATGATCTTAAGAAGCTTGAGAACCTTCAAAGATACTGAACATGGTCAATATTATTATCATGGGTAGTAGTATTCATACCATTCATACCATTTATATATATGATCTAAGTAGACATCTCGCTTGGAGAAGATAAATTAGTCTTCATTTTTAGTGTCATGTGTGGGTCTTCAGAATTTATTTATCTACATTAGACTCAGTACAAAGCTTTCATGTTTACTTCTGCAACTCATTTGCTCATGAGAATCAATTTACCTGATGGACACCTCTGGTGTGATGGCACAGCTCTGTGCCTTTGTAGAGATCCAGTTCATCTTTGTGAAAACACAGTGGGGCTGTCAGCGTGCAGTTGTTTAAATTAAGCTCCACACTTCACCGATGTGGTGGGTAAGATCATAGTTTACAGATCCACATAGGATTTTAGAAGGAATTCATAGGGATTCCTGTGGGGCTTGACCTTGGTGACAGTGTTATTGACATAACTCATTTTCTTCTCTGTTGCATAACGGAAATGTAAAATGCAGCCTTACTAAATAGTCTTTAATGGGGCTGAATAGTCATTTTTGAGTTGTACAACTGTTACTACTACTTTCAAACTTTTTTAAAATTTAAATGTCATTTATTAACAAAATTCCTATTAGGGTAATTTTCTGTGCAAAGAAATGAAACAACTACCATCATGTGCAATTAAGAAATATTTCTAACAGGAGATTATGGAATAAATTCCCTACTTTTGCTTGATGAGGAGTGTGATAAGGGAAAAAGTAACAAGGGAGAAATTCTGGTTGTTATTCAGACACTTCTGCTTTCACAATTGATATAAAAGTTATAAAAAGCTCTATAGAAACTGGAAACTACAATGTGCTTTTGCATTGTGACTCATATTTTCTCAGTATTACACAGCACAAATTTAGGCATCATTTAAACAACAAATAGATTGCTAGTTAATGACACTGCTTTTGTTTTTCTATTCTTGTAATTCTGAAGAATCACTAACTATTATGGACATTATTTTGCAACAAACTTTGCAGGTTTCTCATTGATCACTATTTTGCTGACTTCTTCCTTTCACACCAAAAAAAAAGAGCCACGGTCTTGCATTAAAAAAAAAAAAAAAAAAAAGAAAAAAGAAAAAAAATACATAGCAGATTCTATTGGCTTATTGTATTGAATGTGTTCCCAGAGATATGTCCAAGAATCTATGTTGTTGTACAGTGATAGTTTATAATTAAACTTCTTGTTCCCTGGAGAGCCCTAGTTTTGGCTTCTGCAGAGTGAAAATGCAACGTGATAGATGTGTCGTTTTTTTCACTACAGATGAATGGAACAAACGTCCAGATTTGCCTAAATTACTGCCTCCATGTAGTCTTTAAAAATTAAAAAAAAACTCAAAACAAAACAAAAAACCTGGCAGCTTGTTTATTTGAAGGAATTCTGCCAGTATTTGAAAGCAACATAAATGCAAGAACAAATAGTTCTTTAATTATTTTAAAGCACTAATGTTGTATTTATTGGCCTATTGTTTGTGCTAAAATTCAGCTGTTTTCATGATGTTTAGTCTTCTTAATACAAAACATAAGTATGCAGTTAATATCCTGAGGATTTTTAAAATAGATGTTGCCTTGTCAGATGTCTTTCAGAACTGACTTTGTTTTGACAGTTGTGTCTCACTGTCTTTTGTTTGGGTATTGTTCCTCAGTCAGTTCACACAGGGTAATCACCTCAGCTATTTCCAACTCTAATAAATCTATTTTACCAAGCCCAAAGTGTTCCTTCCTTCCCCTCCTTTTGCAGGTGCTTCTTGCAGGGATGCTCCGCAAAGTCCAGCCCAGCAGGGCAGAACAGGGCTGTCAGGTGGGTAAATCAAGATCCTCAGCTTGGCTGATGGGGTCACTTCTTGTTTTTGGAGACACTTTAGCTCAGTACCTCAGTCATGCTTGAGCTCCCAGCCTTGGCTGTGGCTGACAGCACATCTCTGTCAGAAAGGCGGCTCTGCCTTTTGGTCCCCCTCAGAAAGCTCTGCTTTTATTTTGAATGCTCTAATTTGTGGAATTAGTGCAAAAGCATTTTATAGGCAACATCCTGCCTGGAACCACATGTTGGACAAGGCTGAGCTAGAAGATACACTCTGGGTCGGGGTTAGTCTGACACACAGGAAAGAAGAGAAGGGTTGTTGCAGGGTTTCGAAATTTTCTGTCCTCCAGCTTGGAAATGAGGCTGGGCCAGCTCCCAGTGAATGCACCCGTCAGTTCATTACTTGCTCCTAGAATAGGCTCTTCGAGAGTTCAGTTGACTTTTTTTGGTTGTTCTTTTGCTTTTTGGGTTTTTTTTCCCCTCTGTCTTTGGGTACACGAGGGAGTCATAGCTAGCTACCTCACTTTCTAAATTCAACAACACTTTGGAATTATGTGCTTAACATGAGCACAGAGGTTTTGGATCTCCTGTGACTGAGTTGGGTGGTGTCCTTGGATAAAGCAGTCTGCCAGCTGCAGGTATGCCTATTCCCATTCAAATTTGGCTCTTTAGATAGTGAATAATTTCAGTGTAATCTAAGTGTTCCACCAGTTTTGAGGAAGACCCATCCCAATCTCCGTGGTATCCCCATCTTAGTCTTGCACCAGCCCAGCTGGACACAGCTGAGCACAGACACAGTGATGGTTTGGGGCAACTCTTGCAGGAACAGGTGCTGGCCTCGTTTGCTCAGGAGCCATCATCCTTCCTTGGTGTCACCTGCCCTTCATGTCCCTGTTCTCAGCCCCAGACCAGGGCTCAGCCTTGCAGTGGCTCACTGCAGCTTCCAGAGCCGCATCATCCATCCAGCCCTTGCCCTTGCTGCGTGTTTCTCGCTGTCGGGGGTGCTCGTGACAGATGACAGCATTGTTTCCTAGCCTGCTTTCTGGGATTTCTGGCCCTGGTCTGCCCCAGAGTTTGGCAGTTGCCCTTGCTCAGCGTGCTGAACTCTCCATGACCAGCTCGAGGTTTCTCTGCGGCGTCCCATGGCACGGCACAAGGATCTGCCTCCAATTAGCTCGGGAGCACAGCTCCAGACACATGTGCTGGGTTCAGCAAATGCTGTTTGTTTGCTGGGTGATGATGTTTTTCTAAGCTTATGCTTTATTCATAGCATGAGTGACATTTCTGCAAGAGGTGGTGACGTGTCTCTGGGTCTTAGTTCTGTTCTGGTTTTGGAAATACACTTCAAACAGCTATAGCAGTGCACATTAGATAACCTACATATGAGTAAAATTACAGTGATAACCAGGGACTTTTGTATTAAATTAAATAAATATAGACACTAGGTTTTAAAAACAACAGGGGTTTACTGTGATGAAAGGAATAATTTTGATTCAAAGATGGAATTCATCTTGTTTTTAAATATAATTATATGTTACAGTTTTGCAATTATCATTGTTGGATTACTGATGGGATTAAAATGCACACCTTTTAAAATGAAAGGTAGAAATACAGCTTTTTAAACATTTCATTTTAAGATCATTAGGTACATTATTGCCTCAGCTACAAGACAATTTCATATTTGCTCTGATCCTCTTTGATCTCTAACAGATAGGAAACAGCCTTCAGTAGTCTCTCTTCATAATGTTTCTTTTTCAATATTCCCATGTCTTGGACTAAATTGCTTCTATTGAAGATCTGCAATGGCCCAAATGACCATATTTGAGCTCTGAATTTGTTGTATCTCTCTTCCTGTTTTTTCTTTTGGCTTGATTTCAGATTAATAATGTGGGACTAGATAAGCTTCATGGAAAACCAAAAAAAAAAGTTTATTTCATCATGTTAACCCAATAATACTATCAGGCAGCATCAAACAAAAAAGCTGTGTGTGTTTCTCCAGAGCCCTCAGAGCCCTGAGACAAATACCTTTTTTGAAACCTGGAGATTTATATTCCTGTAGGAATGTAAGTGATATCAAGGTCAGCATATTTTGAGTGCAGCTGTAGTTATCATTAACAGAGGTAAGGATTTGAAGGAATTTTGATATTTCAGCCATGATTTATTATCAAGGGTCTCTTGTGTGAAATATGCCAACCAGAACATAGATGACCATTGATTACTACTCTTGGCTTCATTTAAAAAAAGACAGAAAAGAAAAGGAAGAAAACTTCTTAAATGCATTATGTTTTTAATATGTAGGAAGTAAGTTCATAGTAACCTGGAAACTCATACTCAGGTGCTGTGAATCACAAGAGTTTCTTGTGGAACAAAGCACAACTATCTATACTGTGTATGTATCTGAGTGTGCATGGGTTACTTTTCTATGAATCACATCTTTTATATCTTTAGATTCTTTTGAATAGAAGAACATTAAAACCACTTTAAAATTCCTTTACATTGACAGCTAGAGGATCAAATACATAGAAAGAAATATAGAAGCGTTGGGACTTCTGAAATTCTAGAGTTCTCCATATTACCAAGCAGTAATGTTTATAATCTCTGTGTTTTACCTTTCCTTGACCAGTAATATGGACTAGAAAGTAAAATTTTTCTATAGTGTCCAAAAGCATAGAAAATTAACAGTTTGAAATACTGCCTTCAGCTTTCAAAAATTTCATGGAGAAGTGAAGACTAAGGACATTAAAGGAGGTGTTCAGTAGCTGTGTGTGATTGACCAAAGCAATTCCATTAGATTTTCCTCTTTTTTTTTTTTTTAATAATTTGAGCTGTGCTTTTGCCAAATACCAGTCTCAGAACTTTGCACCCTACACTCTGACAAGAGGCAGCAGTATAGAAGTGGTGGGAAGAGAGCCTTTAGCAATATATTTTCTCTTTTGCTGTTCTCCCAAGGCAAAACTTGGAATCTCTCTGAAGCCATTTGCCAGCATTTACTATTAATCTCCAGCCCATATATACATATTAAAATTCTTTTTGAATTGTATTCAGTGGGTCATGTAAATAAGTCTGCTGTCCAGCCATTATTCATGTAAGACTCAATGCAACCAAATTGTATTGTGGTTTTCCTATTGCAAAATCTCTTCCTTTTTTTTTTTTTTTAATTTACTAATATTGTGTTTTTCTGAAGGCAGAGTGGATGCAGACAATGTACCTGCCAAAGTCAGAGAGGCTGCAGACAGAGGTTCCAGTTTTTAAGTTTCCAGAGCTTTGTGTATTCAGATTCAGGCGTTCTAACTTTAAATATCTTACAGCCTTTAATCTTGCAAAGACAAAGGTTGTATTGGCATGGAAGAAAATACAGAAATGCACTCTATAAGGCCAGGAAAGAATGTGACTGCATTACAGCAGCCTAACAAGTTATCATACGTCAGCTGAAGAATTGTAATTGTCTGTCTATGCACTTGAGCTTGCCCAGAGTGAGGTAAACATCCATATGCTCCAGGGATTACTCATTAAATGAAGCATTATGGTTTAGTACTGAGAAATCTCTGCTGTCCTCCCATTATTTTCTACTTGAATGACAAATTTCTTCTCCATAAAAATCTTAATTATGTGATTTGTTGTGTGTGTATGTTGGATGTTTTTCAATTTCTCATGCTGACTGTAGACAAACACATACATGTGTGCACACACAACATTTTCCCTGCTATAATTTGGTATTTCTGGCACTTTGCAATAGTATGGTCAAAGCCAAACTGTAGCTACCTCTGGAAAATCTTAAAAGTAGCTGTAATTGAAAAAGGCGGTGTAACTTTTCTATATTAAAACCTAGTGAAGATTTTTTTTTTCAGAAAGTGTAATGCTTTTCATCATTGCTTCAACATTAGTTTTTGATAAAGTCATGAAACTTTTGAGTGTATTTTTAGAAACAATTCTGAAACTCATTAGGCAGTAACAGAAATGCCTTTACATTATTGTGATCCACCGCAGACACTAACTTAACTCGAAATTTGACTTTTGATAGATGTAGTAAAAAGAATAAAATTATTCTGAATTCTAAGAAAGTAAATATAACTATTTTGATCCTCCAGAATAATTACAGTTTATAATACTTAACTGAAAAGTTTGTTGTTGCTGTAAAATGAAAGGAACTTTTTTTGATAGGCCTTACTGTTATAGTTCTGTGAGATGTAACCCTTTTGGATTTTCCTACCCCTCATGATTCACTCTGTTGCTAATGAAGTTATGTTCTGACAGGCCTTTAAATTAATGCCTATGCCTTTATGAAGCACAAGTATGGAGTACATAAAGTACAATTGTTTAAAGTATTTGTATTTGTCTACTGATGCACTAGAATCTTACAAACTCAAAGGAGAAACCCCTTTCATAAGCTGTAAATTTCAGAAGTTCTGACCTGTTGACTTCATGAGAGTAAAAATTCTCCAGTGGGAGTAAGATGTTCATCATGTCTTAACATAAAGCCCAGGAGTCAGGGAAATGCCTGGCTGGAATAAACAAGCAGCTCATCCAGTCTGCCATTCTGGCACCAAGGGTGGGTAAGACCAGATGTTTCAGCGGAAGGCATAAATCTTCACAATTTTACTGTTCTGTATTGCAAGATGGTGTTTCTTACATCACTCACACCTTAAAACACGAAGATTAATGGAGCTTATAACTCTATTTCCTCATAGTCAGTTTATAGCATAAATCTTAAAGCACATTTCTTAAATTATTCAGTAATTTTGAAAGCAGAAGGTTTTAAAGATACATCATCAACTGGTGCAAAAGCAAAACCCTTCACCCCCATGCCGCCTTTATCAAAGTAAAAGTTGTGAATATGAGAAAACCTGGCTGTTTCAGTAAACTAAAAGTGGATTTTACTGCAGTGTGAGAGAGGCAAAGTGCTCTGTCAAGGAGAGACATGACAGATCTCCCCAGCTGCTGGATGCTGGGATGCTTTTGCATCATACCTGCCTGCAGGTATTCACCAGTTCATGTGTGGG